AGGGAGGGAGGAGGGAGGACCGAGGAGAGTTAAATGGCGGGGACTTCGTTTAAGGTGTGAAAATGTTCTAAAATTATGGCCATGATATTTCTCCAACTTTGAATATACTAAAATGATTTACTTTTGCACTTTAGATGGGTGGATTCTATCTGTGTAAGTTGTATCTGAAAAAAAGCTAGTGTGGAAAATAATGCCCCCTCGTTTGACTAACTTCAGCACCTTCGTGGCTCCTCCGTTTATAGTTTGAGTAGAAGGAAAGAAAACGTGTGATTGATAATCACAGAAGCCTGCAGAAATGCATGTTATTCACCTGGAAGAAAGTTCTATTGACTTCCTCCTGCCACGCGGCACACAGCAGCACAGTCCCCCGTCTGTGGAGGGAGAAGCTCTGGGGATGGGGGTGGGTGGTGAGCTGCTAACACAGGAGCTGCAGTAACTACGGACGTGTGGGGATGTCAGGGGGACCCCCACCAGGTGTGCACATTTGGGCTCACGGTGACTGGAAGCTCCACCATTGTTGGTCTTCAAAGCACAGGTACCTTTGAGGTCGAGGTATAAGTGGCAGGAGGTGGGTTGGAAAAGGGGCTCGCTCAGCTCATGTGGAAAGATGAAGTGATGCTCTTTATCTGAGGGTGCTGGGTCAGTGGTAGACTTCTCGCCTTCCATGCAGGAGGGCAGGATGGAGCCCAGCTAGCACACCTCACGTTCACCCACCACCCATCTGTCAGGGAGACATACTAGTGTCTATGATGCTAAATCGCCTCCGAAAGAAATCAGACTAGGAAAAAAGGCATGGCCACCTGCTTGGGAAAACCAACCGGCACAGTCTCTGTAGATCACTGTGATTGTTAACGCAGCTATGGGGAGGGCATGGGGATGGACAGCGTTCCCGGGTCGACGGACATTGAGGGCTGACTCAGGGGCATCTAAGAGCAGCAGCTGGATCCATTTAACGACCGTGCTGGGCCCGCCTTTATCTTCTTGACGTCTTCGTCCAGAAGTCAGTGGTGAGGAGGTTGAAGGAATAGTGTGTGCCGGCAACTAGTCCAGGCACAGCACAACCCAAGGCTGCCTGGTCCAGGCACAGCAGAGCCAGGGCTGCCTGGTCCAGGCACAGCAGAACCCGAGGCCGCGTGTCCACACACACCAGAGCTCAGGGCCTCCTGGTCCAGGCACAGCAGAGCCCAGTGTTGTCTGCTCCCATGCACACCGGGCCTCATTGGAGGTAGACTGTGCCTTGTGAGCCTCAGGGTTTTCATTGGCTGATTTCTAGTAGATTTCCAGGCCCCTCCCTAGTCCATCTCAGTCTGGAAGTGTCACTGACACTTATGTTGGAGGACGTGTGTGTGTGTGTGTGTGAGAGAGAGAGAGAGAGAGAGATAAATTTTGTTGTTACTGTTCACTGTGTAATGCATACATGGCAAAGGATGTCAAAGGCAAAAAAAAAAAAGATGGCCTCTGTTCTCTGTTCCCAAGTGAACCCCTGACCGTGCCCTCTGGAGGGTGTGTGTTTGGCAGGTTTGCATCCTGTGGAGCTGTCCTGAGCAAGCTCGTGATCGAGGGCCAGGGTGGGGAAGGGTTGCAGTAAGGGGGAACGTGCCTTCTGGGACGACACAAAAGCCCACGTTTGCAGATGGTGAGTCCTGGACCAGGCCTGTGTGGGGTCTGAAAGGCATCTGTGAAACTGGCTCTTAGCAATCATCCTAAGTATCATTTACAGTTTCCCAGTGCATTCACGTCAGTGAAAAACTTGTGATGATGTTGGTTTGACCTTTTTTCCCTCCAGTGCCTCGGGATCTGCTCACCCTGCCTGTGTCTGTGGTGCCTTTCTCGTGGCCACTGAGGACGTGTGGCATTGGGTCAGTTCAGTGAACCGGGTCCACGGGCATGAGCTGTCCTTAAGCTCAGTCCCTTGTCACGGACAGGCAGGAAAGGCTTGCTGCAGCTCAAAGATTCTCCACAGTTGGAATTACCTACTCAAAACTATTTTCAGTATGTTTTACAATTAGAGGTCTAATTTAATAAGAATCATGACTTCTGTGTTATTTCAGAGCGTGATGATTATTCACTGTTTGCGTTTACTGTGACTCAGTCATCAGAGATAGGCAAGCCTGTGCCCCTGTCCTCAAGCAGCCCAGAGCTTTGGGGGTGGGGGAACAGGGGTCCACACCTAAGCGCCATCGTGCGCTGTGTGAGGACCACGTGGGATCTCAGTGACCCAGGGAGCAAGGAGGAGAAGCTGGCGTGGATGGCTCAGGGCGTTTGAGGATCTCTGTTCCAGAAATTGGCTGTAGCACAGTTAGCCACCTGCTAGGTTAGATTTGATGAGTGATTTCCACGCTGTAAAAGATGGAAACTTTATCGCTTTCTCCGGTTCTGCAGAGACTTTCAGAAGAGCCACAAGACTCTTTACGTTTTTATCCATAAATGGATAACGATTGCATTTTGGGAGCCTAGCTGATTTGACTGCCCATCATGCGGGAGGTGCTGGCAGCCTCCAGTGTTGTGAATCAAGGCTGTTTGGAACTGTGAGCTTAGGTGACACCCTTTCTGAGGTTGCTACCGGCTTGCCATGTCCTGGGAGCAGGTGGTCGTCGTTAACTGCCTTCGAGTTGAGCACGACTCATAGTGACCCTATGAACAAAAGGCCTGAAGCCTTTCTGTAACTATCAACATTTATCAAAGTTCAGAGAGTTTCCAGAGGCATGTTCTTTAGGAAGTGGATGCCACTCCTGCTTCCAAGCTGGCCATAGGATGTCATTGTTATGTGCCATTGAGTCGCCTGTGATGTATAGTGACTGTATGTCCAGCAGCTCTGTCCTGAGCCATAGGGACCACTGTGTGATGTCTGGAAGCCATCAGAACACCAAATGTGGGATTAGTAGAAGATGGCTGTGGGGACAATGGCTGATGGTGGTGTTGAGGTCCTTCACCATCATTCCTTCCGGTTTACATTGTTTGTTAGACTGTGGAAACCATTCACGCAGTGTCACAAGTGGACGAGTGATAGACTTAGTTGATTACGTGCAGTCTCCTGCTAGCCGGGGGCTGGGGGTGGGGGTGTGAATCCTTCCCAGAGACAGCAGGAGGGCTTGTCCGGATATCTTGCTGGGGCTGTTTTGGGGTGGCTGTGTTCTGGTCCACTCCCACTGCCAGGAGCCCTGCATGCAGCAGAAGGAAACACTGCCCTTTCCTGCGCCATCGCCACGGTCCCTGCTGGGCTTTGAGCCCGTTCCTGCAGCCCCTGTGTAAATCCGTCTCGTCGATGGTCTTCCTTTCACAGATGCCCTCCTTGTCTGGAGGGGCTGATCTCTACTCGCGACATGCAATGTGTGGGATGAAGGCTTACCATCCTGGCTTCTGAGAAGTCTTGGCTGCATTTCCAAGACAGATTTGATCACTTTTCTGGCAGCCCTGTCAATGTTTTTTGCCAGGACTGTACTTGAAATATACGTTGGTTTCCCCTCCGTCTCCTTTTTCAGCGCCCAGTTTTGCGTGTGTATAAAGCAGTTGAAAATACCATGAGGTGAGGCAGGTGCACCTGGGTCTGCAAGGTGGCATCTTTGCTTTCTCTCTGTAAAGAGGGTAGTTAGCATATTGGCCTGGTGCATTGCTTCTCCTTGACCACAGCTTTCATGAGCACTGTTTCTAGATCCAAATAAAATGACATCTTTGACTTCAGTCAAGGTCTCACTTATCATGATGTTGCTTATTGGTCCAGTTGTGAGGATTTTTGTTTTCTTTCTGCTGAAGTGTAATTGATCCTGAAGACAGTGGTCTAATCTTCATCTGTGAGCGCTTCAGGTCCGCTCCACGTTCAGCAAGCAGGGTTATGTCACCGCGCACCTCAGGTTAACGAGCCTTTCTTCATTGCTGATGCCGCAGTCTTTATCAGGTGTTCTGATTCTTAGATTATTTGTTCACCAGACACAGTGGATGTTGTTGTTATGCACCACTGAGCTGCAACTGACCCATAGCTGACCCCCCAGCAGCTTTGAGAGGCCGTAAATCTCATGGGAGGAGATTGCCTGCCTTTCTTCACGGAGCAGCTGGTGGATTTGAACCGTGTGCATTCAGCAGCACAGCTCTTCCCCACAAGGCCATCCAGCTCTCATGCCTCACGATATCCGTCCTTTGGGGAAGTGTCTGTATTCATGGGGAGCCTTGGTGACACCCTGTTAACACGGAAGTTGCTCTTCTCAGGAAGTTGCGCCTCAGGAGAGAGGTGGACAGTCTCCTCCCGTGTGACTTACAGCTTCAGAAACCCAACAGAGAGGGTCAGCTGTGAGTCGGTTCCAATGCAGTGGTGTAAGTTATAGCCATATACGAAACGGTTCCTTGAAACCCTGCCCAGTCCCATTGGGGTATGTGTGTTGGAGTGAAACATGGCTGATTCCCTGCTGTCCCCGTGCTCGGGGCGTGTTTGAGCCTGCGTTCCCCCTCACTGACTGCACACTGAGCCCTGCAGTCTGTCCCCTCGTGGAGGTGACCGTCACTGACTGCACACTGAGCCCTGCAGTC